CATATCCTCAAATGTTACTACAAAAATGTAGTAAATGTATTTTTGCAGATCTTTATGCATTAAGATGTCTTTAAGATATTTTTTACATTTGTATACATTTTAGAGATCTCAAGTAGCTTTTTGTTCATGTTCAGCTAGGTTTGTTTAGAAATTGGATAGCCTTCTGTTCTCTGCTTCCTGTTTTACATTCACGTACAGTACTGTATGATAATGATGCTGAGCTGTAAGCTCACACTCTCTTTAAGGGGTAACAGACACCGATTTCTAAATAAACCCTCCACAATCTGTTATGTACAAGCTGGAGGGATGTGATTTTATAAACAGAAATGCACAGGTAAGCACACCTGAAAGAGGAAAACAAAGCCAAATCAATGCACTAAAAAGTAAAATATCTTAAGTTAATAAAAGATAAAAACTTACTATAGCAATTAGCTTTTCTGAAGGACTATCACCAAGCCTAAGACAGACAACTCCATTTCAGCTTCATGGGACAGGACTGGTGCTTTCACTCAAAATTCTCTCTCAAAATTCAGTGTGATGACATGTCTTCTCCTCTCCTGAGATCTTGTTCTTATTCAACTCAAAGCTGATCACACCCAACAAGTCCAGAAACTGTGGGGACCACCTTGCATTCAGAATCTCTCTGTAGCTTCAACTGAACGGGGTACTAGTGGTGGCGCTGCAGTTTAAACATATCTATTATTATAGACAGATAATATAAATACATGAAGGAGTAAAGGTTTATTCCATGCTGAAAGGAAAAGAAAAGAGATACAACTTTTCGGCTGTGGAGCCTTCTTCAGGTATGAAGACGAAGGCATCTAAAACCTGAAGAAGGCCCCACAGCCAAAATGTTGTATCTCTTTTCTTCTCTTTTCAGCAGAGAATAAACCTTCACCTGTTCCTTTGCAGCCTACGCGTGCTGACACAGCTCCCTATTTGAGCTAATATATACTTATATTCTAAAAGCTAATGTGATCACTAAATAAAAAGAATATTCATCCAACCTAGAGAGAGGCAGACTATTGAGATAACTGATTGAAATGAATGCATACAGAGGTCTTCAGACCCAAGCGTGCTGGAACCCTCTGCTTCTTATCCTACAGATGGCACTAAGGCTCTGCTCTTATGGTCTGGCTCCACAGAGGTCTCAGAGGCTGTGCTCTGTACATGCCGTCCCTGTCTTACCTAGGAAGGTGCTGACCTCCACCTGTAAGATGGACTCAGCCATAGTTTGAAATTACAAAAGAGGCAGTGCAAGATGGGGAAAAAGTGACAAATCTATCAAGGAAAATAAAGACATTTTGCAGCCAGCCCTGTTAGAAATGTACTGAAAATAAAGCATCTTTCAGCTCAAGTGATACAATAGAATGTTTGTTTCACTCAGATTTACAATTTCATGTTTTTTAAAGACAGTAAATACTGTCTTAATTGAGAAACCTCCTCTGCCAAAATGGAAATTAATATATTTTGAACTTATGTACAGTATGTGCACCATACAGGATGTGCTCCAGAAAAAGAACAACAACAACAATAGTCCTGTTTTCCTTTTGAAGACACAATCCAAACCTTTCTAGCTGCACTTTAAATGATCTGTCCATGTATATTTATGTTTGTAAAGATAAGGGATAAATACTCTTTGTAGAAACTTGCATGATATGCAAATACTGTATGTCATACATAACCAGGGAGCATCACCAGGGAGATGCCATATACTGTAGAATAGTTCAAGAAGATCATCAGCACCAAATGGTCACAGTGAGAGTGTACAGTAGCTGCTCAAAATCTTGTCTCATCCTTATTGTGTTGTCCCTTCTCCCCAGTACATTTTCCTACTTTATTTTTTTTCCTCTCTGAGGATATCCATTTGTTTAATCTTTTTGACTGACCACAAAACCCGAACAGGAGAGCTTGCTGCCCTAAACCATCACTCATTAGTGCGCACGCTGGCTATTGGCCCCTCCCTGGGGGCGGAGGGAGGGGGAGGAACGATGACATCACAGACCTTCCACACCAGGAAGAATGAAACTTTCCGACAAAACACAAGATCGGGCTACGACGGCTGCCTCTGATGGCACAGGGGTTACAGGGGACAGGGATAGGGGCGCACAATGGATTTCAGTCCCTTCAGAAAATCAAAAACAATATAAAAAATCACTGTTGAACTGGAGCCTTTACTGAGCAAAGGAACTGCAGCTAACTACAGTAGGAAGTTGATACAGTATTTACATCTTCTCAGTCCATATTGATGTTTATCCTACTTTAACAAACTTACTTTATTATCAGTGTAAAATGTACTACATTTTAATTTCAATTCGAGGCCTTAGTGCCTCTTTGAACTCCTCTGGGGACTATTCTGTGCATTAAAATGAAGTTGGATTTGAACCAAGCTGCTTCTGACCGTTAGTATGACAAGCGTTGCCCACCCCAAGGCTCTTTAATAATTATGATTAGGGGAGCATTGTTAAAATCAAAATGAATTTCTCTCACAGGAATCATTGAGCTTCCGTAGTGGAAAGTGGAGGATAAGAAGCTAAAATTCACATTTTAAAATATACCAGAAACGTTTTTTTGAAATCTAAACTTTGTCACTTTGTTCTGGGAACTACAGTACCATACTGCATTTCCAGCAACAAACTTCAGTGCACATAACAAGCCTCTTATGCAGGCGTGTCTTTATTCGAAGGCGCTGTACTGAGTTTAAAAACAGATGTGACTTAGATGCCCTTGGCTTTTGGAATAAATCCTTGAAGTGTAAGTATGTTAGACAGCCGTGACGTAGGCGTCTTTTATCTCTGAGACATCATCAGACATGTTTCTGTTTGACCCTGGCACAGGCTGAACGGCAGTAAGTACAGTAACAGGCTGTGAAGATGTCTATTGATATGCTCTTGCCTTCCATTTCTTCCAGTGCTGGATGTTTGTTTCAGCTTTTTCCCCAGCAGAATTTTTTTTCTTCTGAATAATAGTATTCTTGAGAGCTCCTGTACTGTAGGTAGCATTTGAATCTAAATTAAATCCATTTTTTTAAACAAGCAAACCAAGGGAAAATCAATCCAAGAGAGGCCTGTCCTGCCCACCAGTGGGATGATTAAGGCTGATGATGAAGATGGTGAATGAACGAATTACACAAAAGCCTGGAAATGTACAGTATATAATCTGGAACAACGACGTTACCATATCTCTTACAGTTCCTGCTTCGGCCATCATTCTTTTTCCTCCAGCCAGTGATCAGCTGTACTTGGTCAAAGGAAGTGGGAGGAAATTTCGCCTCCCATTGAATAATCGATTATGCTAAGATCCCTGGCAACATGAATAAAAACATGTCTTTTCATTCTGTGGCTCCACCCTTTGGGGAATAAATCTGACCGTAAAGATGGAGCTCCCCTAGGACAGCATGTTTCAGGCATGCCCAACACAGAGCAGGGAATGGGATTTCAATGTACAGGAAATTCAATTTTCTTTACTAAATACATTGTTTACAGTTACATTTGTAGGGGGAGGGCAAGGTTGGGAACATACACCTACAGTATGTCCTAAAAAAAGTTACATGACTCTTCTTCGCTTCATTAACAGAGCACATCTCTAAGGAAGAAAACAAAAGGCATCTACTGTACTGTTGGAAACCCAAGGGTTTTCTTTATAGGACAGATTTTAAAATCCCCCTGAACCTGACTGCAAATGTCCATACAATAAAGCACCTGGCGCCAATGCTTATTCAAAGATGTGTCTTTTGCTTTCTTCCTGTGTTGTCAGGATTGCTAGTATACATCTGCAAAAATGTTATACAAACCGTAGCTGCTTTTAAACTTTCAGAACCACAAAGCAGTCAGATTTATTTTAGGGAGGTTAATCACAAACTGTTGTGTACAGATGAAAATATAGGGTAAAATGGGCCACCAAGACAGACAATGTTTGTGATAGGATTTACAGAAGTGTGCAAGCTTATTAGGTCACGTAAAATTATCCAAAGCATTTTCTCAAAACACTTTACTGGGATTGATGTCTTTGGAAATGGTATTTACCAGAGTACTGAAGTTGCCCTTTACCTTTAATTTGACAAGCAGTAAATAAATTCTGTCTGACCTAACAAAGCATGTCAAAACTTAGACTTTCACAATTACACTGTTCCTCAAAGATCTGCTAGTGCTGTCTTTGCCCGACATTTAACATAATTTTAAAAACACTGACATAATGAAGAAAAAAAGAATAATCGCCCTTGGAGCAGTTTAGGATCATCCTGCTGATCTCCAGAGATAAATGCCTGCTGACTGTGCAGCATCAATATGAATGGTAGTGGTTACTGTAAATGACAAATACTAGTAAAAAAAACATTTTAAAGCTTTGAAAATACCATACTAAGAACAGGCCCTACGTTCAATTCTGGATCTGGAGTGCTATCGGAGTGGAGTTTGTATGTTCTTCTCGTGTTTATGTGATTTTCCTCCAGGTGCTCTGATTTCCTTCTGTAGTCTAAAGACTTCCGGGAAAATTGGCCCTGGTGTGAGTGTATCTGTGTGGCGTCCTGCCCAGGGTTTACCCTGCCTTTTGTCCTGTGAGGGACTAGTGTCCTGCCCAGGGTGTACCCTGCCTTGTGCCCTGAGAGGGACTGGTGTCCTGTCCAGGGTGTATCCTGCCTTGTGCCCTGAGAGGGACTGGTGTCCTGTCCAGGGTGTACCCTGCCTTGTGCCTGCTGCTTGCCAGGATAGTCTCCAGCTCTCCTGTGACCCCGAACTGGAAGACGCGGATGTAGTAAGAAATGAACACTATTCACTGAACAATTTCAAAACGTATTTTTTCAGAAAAAAAATAGTATACAGTATGTACTTCAACACAACATCTTAATCCACATCCACATAATCCTCCATTAAGTCATACCTAAAACGCTGAAATAATAATAATATTTATTTTATACAGCACCAAAAATAAACCAACCAACTTAATTTATTATTATTTAAGTTAGTTAAATGGTTGTTTAGTTCAATTAAACTGTAACTTACCACCGTGAAGTTCATGACCTTCAGGATCCATATGGTCAATGCCAGATTGACAATCATGATGACCAACAGCAGCAGGACAAAGAAGTATAAACATCTTTTTCTCCAGCCGTACACTCCCACAGGATATACAGGGGCACAGCCTGGCCTTTGAAGACTGCTGGGCTGGGCAGCCAGGATGTACTGCTCCTGGGTCATCTGCAAAACACAAGCAGGAATTCGACTGAACTCGGAAAAATATTTCACAAGTAAATGTCGCTTTCTGAGTTTTATTATGACTCCATATTTATTTTTTTCTAGTACTCCCATAACTGCATACTGCACCCCCCTTTACTAAACACCAGTTTTTGGCATTCATTTGCTGGTAGAGGAAAAACAACTTGTACCTGTAACATACTGTATACTGTATACTGTACTGTAAGTATAAAATCTTGAAAACCCTCCTAGCGATCTAGATTTCTGTACTCTACAGACATCCTTCCCTCAGGCTGGACTATGAGGCCAGGTGGGCTTTGAAATGGGTCAGAAGACTCAGGGCTCTGTGTCTGTGCATCCCAGATTCCCTCTGCAGGCACAGGACCGTCCCTGGGAGGATTAAAAAAGGTTTTAATAACAGCCATTACTGGCCAGGCTGAATTCACCTTCGGAACCACACCAGGCAACAAGGTCCAAATAGTGTTTTTCCTTTTAACAGTCACGAGAGCCTCATGCACCAGCTTCCCTTTTACTGGAATAACAGTGATGGATCACAAAGGTTCATATGGCTTTGCATCAGTCTGGAACAAGCCTGATCCAGCCACATAGCGAACAGGATGAAGAGCAGGATGCTGCAGTCTCCACCTTGACTTTTTACCAAATCCATATTATCTAGCAATAAAGGGTACAAATCAGTTTATCTTCATCATTCTTATTTCAACAAACAATTCTGCCTGTTTCTCCCTTCATGTGGACACTCTTTCTCACCCACTGTGCCCTACCTCACCTGCTCTGTCCTTTATGGCCATTTGCTTTACACTCCTGCAATTTATCTCTCTCACACCGGAAAAAGGACAGAACATTGTCTTCTCTTTCTTTCTACTTTTCAGCATGAAATTAACCTCTACTCCTTCCTCTGCAGCAAAGTGCACGCTGTGTCTTCACAAGCGTTACACAAAGCAATTCATACAGCTAATACTGAGGGCTAGTAGCAGGTACTGTATGCTGAAACTGATAAGTAAAGGATCGCGATTTATCTACATATTATTGTGATTGAATAACAGAGGGACAGATGGCACAGAAGAGGGACATGTGATCATAATGTCAAAGCTATTATTTCTGCTCAGCAGAAAGGGACTCATCAGTGATACAACCCTATGTATTTTCAAGTTCCTGGCCATCACTAACCCACATAGTGGAATGATTCCATTGAAGTGGAAGTATAAGTAATGAACCACTGCACAGCACTGTTGAAGTTACAGCTGTTACTCTAGCAGCCAGTCTTAAAGTCCAGACTAATCATAAAAAACATGCAGGTGCTTGATGTCAGCAGTTGCCTATAAGAGTTTTTCTCAAAGGTCTGCTGTGCTGCTTGCTTTTTCCATATAAATATCCCCTCATTGAAAGCACTTCTTTGGGCACTTCGGTAAGATAACACACAAGGAAATTATGAAAAAAACAGACAATTTTAAATCCTTAAAACGGATTTCCTCAAATGAGGCAGCTATAAGAATAGGACTAAGAGTTCTCAGTAAGTGAAATTTCTTTATCATAAACAATAGAATTTGTGCAATTATTGTAAATCTCTGTCCCTCCTGCTGAGGCATGCTATCAGAAATAACTTATTTGTCTGCAATTCTGGCATATTTCTTGCTGTGAGCAGTTTATGGACAAATTTCCCATCTAATTCTTTCCCTATGAAATGGGTGTTTTATCCACAGGGTGCTCACAAGGAAAAAATAAATCCCTATTTTTCAGCGAGGGCAATGCCTATATTGGTCCAGCTTAACTCTTGTTATCACACTGTTCTTGTCTTCCCCTTATCGACCTCAACCATGCAATATTTCAGAGAGACCGCTAGGACAATGGATACGTCAGACAAGTCGCACTGCCAACCTTTTGCAGACCTAGTTTCCCTGGCCATTTACTTTATCTTCAGGAACACTCAAAGTCACAGGTTTACTGCTGTCAACTTTGCAACACAAATTAGTTTAGACAATCCATTCCTGATGATATTTCAGTAACTGATGCAACAGTATTTCAGAATGTCAAAGTGCTGAAGTATCAATGAATTGATAAATATTTGAAGGTCATTTTTAATAGCTATTAGAATTTAAATCACTTGGTAGGATTTTGCTGTTTTGCATGGTTGTTAATTCTAATTAAATGCTGACATTACTGAACAACTGTTTGGAGGCCAAATAGTGCATCACACACTGATATTGACTTAGATTGCTTTCCTTCACACATCATCCTCCTCACAACCTTCAGCTGACAACATAAAATTCTTTTTTTTCAATAAGTGGTAGCAATATTTCACACAGACACACACATTTGTTTCTCCTGTTAACTATTAAAATTACATTCTGACTATCCTAAACTGTAGTGCTAAAATACCTCCTGTAATGCATACAATAAGTTACTGAACAGTCTCTTACATTCAAATTGCCCCTCTTCTTTTTTTTCCTGAGCATGCATGCAGATGTGACAGAAGAGAACTGTTTTGCATTTTCATGGGTTTCCAGTCACATTTAATAATTTTATGGACACATTCTGGCTGTTTTTTTATACCAGCAAATAAAACGCAAAAAAAAAAGGGAACAATTTTCAATGTTGACATCGGTGTTCTTCAATCTTCTTTACCTGGGAACCAAGACTGCACTGGTTTCAGCTTTTGTCTAACACATTATTAAAGATGTAGCTTTTAGAAGCCACAAGCAAAATCTTAAAATAGATTTTCCTAGAATCATAGAACACAAAAAGACCAAATAAAATACAGTATGACAGTTCTCTGATGAAGCAACGATCTGACCTGCCAGATCATTGAACCTTTATGCAATCAACTGGAGTGTTAATGAACAGATTTACTTGACAAAAAAAATTCCCTTTAATAGACGAAAGGCAAACTGTGAATGTTCCAGTCTTTGACAATACTGTCCATATCAGCACTTAAGTCCCAATGAAGGAGTGAAAAAAAAATCTAATTGCATTGATGGCGAGTGAGATGTTTTCAGTGGAGCAGAAAAGTAATTGGTTTCATTCCCACTATCACCGAGGATGCTGTTTAGACTTCTGAGCTTGTTGTCATTTCCTGATTTTTGCATGGTACCAACACTTACTTCCAAGCTAATGTAAGTGCTGACTTCAAGCCAGTTTTTGTTTTGACCTGATGAACTTAATTAGAGGGCAGTTCACAGTGGCTCCACTGAGGAATACGGATCTCGGGGAAAAACCTCCTCGGTCAAAGAACCATTAAGTTTGGTGTAATAAGCCTGATCAAACCCTTTCAACTGCATATAAAGGATCCATGGGATGGAAAAAGCTTCTTCCTTTGTACTTCTTAATCAAATATCACCAGATTCCCACACGTGCCTCTAATCTGGGCTTCAAGATGGAGTCAGAACACCTCCTGCTCGAGCTGATTTGAATCGGCGCTGCACGAATCACAATGTCTCTCTAAACCAGCAGCTGCTGTGGAGCCTCGCGTCTTTGCATTGAAATTCCGTCTTCAAAAACCCTGCTTCAGAATCGATAGGAAATGATGGCGATTTCCATAAACATGAAAGGGGGGGCTCTGAAGCAAAATAAGCCGATTCAGCTAAAGCTGCTACCAGCTTTCACAACCCAAAAACTGAACAACAAGTCGGCCTTTCAGCCCGATGGCCCTCACAGGTTCTTCCCTTCACAACTCAGTGCAGTGATGCGAAATTATTAGATCTCAATAAAGAACGAAAATCAAAAAACAAAAGCGCTGTAAACCTTGATTGGAAGCTCTTTTTATTGAGACACCGATACAGAACTCCCTGGGGCATACGTAACGAACCCCCATCTAAGCTCGGTTAATTTAACATGGAATTTGCAGTTTTTCTCAATGAGATGGATCACAGGTTGACGGATTTTCAAAACGTACTAACTATATGAATAGAATCCTAGGAATTACAGTATTTATTCACCTAAACACGTTACTGAATTGCATTGTGTGACATGGCGAGGCAATGTTTAGTCTGTTACTCTCCTGAAACGCAACCTGGGTGTTGTGAGTGGAAACTACAGTACATGGAAGTGCTTTGAAAAACTGTGTGTTTTTTACACACCTATGGCACACCTCACCCAGCTACAGTATGTGCTCTTACCATGCTCTTCCAGGACCCTGGCATCAGCTAGTCCTACATGGGCTGGATGACCTGAATGGCCTCCTCTCGTTTGTGAGCCACTGCAGTTGCTCTTGTGTGACAACTTGAGCCACAGAATCCTGAACAGTGAAGTCCCTGTGCCAGCTTGTTAACTGTCAGTCTCACGTCACCTTGTGAATCGGATTCACTCTCATTAAGCCTCAGGGGCTGGAGGCCTGAAACACGTTTTGCGAGCCGCTCACACTGAAAACGATACATAGAAAACAACAATCGCGGCCGGAGGTTCGGGTAGAGACTCTGTGCCATGGCTAATACTCCAGAGTGAAAAAGCACTCTCTATGTTCTGAATATGCAGTACTCAACCATGTCACTGATATTGCAGTGCATTTGTTAGTTATTTATAGTTTCTACTCTTTTTGATTACATTAAGCTACAAAGGACCAAATGGGCTCTGAACCTGTTGTAGGATGTGTAATGTCTATTGTTACATTACAAAAGGCTTGCTTAAATACATTACAACACTCCAGGCTTGTGAGAACAACATAAAACTACACTCTCTTATTTGTCAAAGGACACAAAGTGACTTTACAGTCTATACTGTACAGAAAACACATGCCCATTCTTGATCTACTGATATTGTTGCTGTTTATTTGATCTTATTTGCAATTAGATCTTAAACACTTAACTCTCTCCATGGATTTATTACCTAATATTGTGGACCGGCCTTCAGTGTTAGAATTTTTCAATAAAACACTGTACCAGTGGCAGACAGGGTACCGATCTAATCAGCTTTCAGGATAGGTTGAGCTAAAAAGCAAGTGAGAGACAAGAAATCAATGGGTTGGAGTGGTGCTGGCAACATCTGTCTGC